CTTTCATGTTGTAGGTACTTGATAAAAGAGATACAAGATAAAATAAATTTTGTTTTAGTATTATGATGTTTTTTTTTTACAAATTCATATTCGTAATTTAAAGTATGACCTCGAAACGTTTGACTTTTTTGCTAAGTTAAATTGTATTTATGGCAAAAGTGTATTATTACGGTGCGGACTTTCATCTCCAGCAACTAATTTATTCAAGATGTATTCAGGTTTAAGTTACTTTTTTGTTTGAGATCTATGTTTGGTTTGCAACGACCGTTACACACTAAGTCTTTAGTATTGAACTACTTTATTTTATCATTGGCTCATAAGTATTTACATTCTTTATTCATATACAATTTGTGCAAGGTTCAAATATGAACTCTAACCGTTGTAGAATCTTTTCACATCACCTCTTCTGTAAAAGTTCTCATCTACAGTTTGCTCGCTATGCATATTTGACCATGTTACGCATAGTTGACGCACGTTATGCAGAATCCTGCATATCGTGGGAACGCTGCTATGGATGCATTTCTCGTGCCGCCCACTGCTGAGCCAGTTTCGTCTCCGACCTTACCCAAGTTGCCCAACTGGGGTTCGTGCTGGCCAGCTCACCTGCCCGTGATCTTCTTCGCTAATTTTCCGCTTCAGTAGTCCATTGACGGAGTCACAGCAAATGCCAACACTAATAGAGTGATGGACTGATTTGCTTATTCATGTTCACACTTCCTGATGTGAGAGGCTAGATGATTTACCTTGGAAATGTGGGCTATTATGTTTAACGTTGTTACGAATTTGTAGTTGTAGTAGGTTATACGAACTGATGGATTAGAACTCTTTAATCTTATGAATACATCAAAAGTTTTTTTGTTAAAAATGTCAAACCTCAAGTTCAGTTTTGGGATCATAATAAATATAGTAAGAATAATATTGTGAACTATTTAAAAACGATGGGACTTTACAGCCAAAAGAGCACTTTTCAGAGAGAGAACGAACACAGTATTATAATTACCAAAAAGAGCTTAGACACAACGTACAGTCAAATCATAATACTGCAAATAATTATATTTTGTATATTATAATTCATTCACAACATTATACACATTTATACACATTGTATTTGTATTTTCCGTGTGTTATACAATTTTCTTTATGTATTGCATGGAAAATAATAGTACAGGTCGCAGTTTAAATATTTATGTTCTTTAATACAATTTATAACCAACTAAAACATTTTGAAAACTTAATCGTACTTATATACAACTTTTCACAATAGTTATAAAAACTTTATAGGCCACATACTCCAATTTATTACAATGAATAATGGTTTTAAGAGGCCGTAACTATATTAATTATATATATCTTATATCCTTAGTTTGTTTATTTTACATTTCCTCGTCTTGTATTTCACCTTTTGACAATTTCTCAAGATTCTCAAGTTTATCTCAAATTAATGAAACTAACTCAACCAGTACATGTAGACATTTCGGCTTTCTGCAAATTACTCGCCGATGACCAAAAGTAAAGAAGGACAAGCACCGCTCCACCTTCGAGTTAATACACCAGCTTCTTCCTAGTGCCAAGATATTTCGCCAGAAGCTCCATATATATTTAAAGCTCACTAATGTATCTCTACTCATCTTGCGTCATACGAACATCTCCAAATTGCTCTGACATTTTGACTCCGGATGAAAAGAGACTGATGTCAGATGGCTTCAAGGACATAAGTCATGTATGTGTTGAACTATTTTAGTTTTAATGGCTGGTACCTCCTAACGAGTGCGTTTTTTATTGATTGTAGATGTCTGCGGAAGTTTTTTGTGTTTTTTAGAAGAACAAAATTAAAATAGCGTGTAATTTTTCTTGGACGGAGATTTCAAAAACAGAGAATGGTCTCCTGATTTTAGAAATTATAAAAATATATGGCATGATAATTGGACAAGTGGCTATAATGCTAGTTTGGTAATACAAGGATTGTCGGCTTGTTAATGAGCAAATCCAGCAGTTTTTAAGTGGTCCAAACCCAGAGTTCCAGTCTTTGAACATTAGGTTCTTAGTAAATTAAACTGACTCAATAAACAGCTAATACTAATTCTTGACCAATCTACTAGCTACACCGGAACCATCGATTTCATGTTTACACACATCCAGGTTACATTCATGGTTAGTTTAAAATATTTAGAAAACTAGCGTTACTGATGAAGTGGGTGACGATTGATATCAAAATGATTATTTTGACATTCCTTTGAAATCAATGTTTCACATAATCGCTTTCGTCATTATATTTCTAACCACTTAAATAGTACTGCATTTAAAACATCACAACATTAACCAAGAAACTTTGTTTAATCAACTTTGCACAGCATGGAGATATCTGCGTCTTCGAGGTCAGGATTAAACTAAATATGACATGTGGATATCTAATGAAATAGATTCGTTTCTGTACATTAAAATAATGTTGTTATGATAATCATATTACTAAACCTATGCCATGTGCTTACATTTTCTTGTATCTAATAAGAACACAAACACAATTTTGATGATGAGGCTACATTTCTTAAATAATGGTAGTTGTATGACTAAAATTTTCTACTTTATCTTACAATTATTTGGATGATGCAGGGTAAATTTAAGAGCTCTTGTATCGAGGCCAAACTAAATACCTGCAGCTCCAAATCCAAACACAGAAAATAACGTGCTTCCTCCTCACTGCAACATGCCCCATTTGCTATATATCACCTGACCATGTTATCCGAAAACCATTATACCTCTGCATGGTCATTTTTCACACTTAACCTTTGCTTATTGAGTTGGCCTTGAGTTAGACTGACGTTACAGGATCAAGTAGAGGATCCTTATTACAAATCTCTATAACATAGCCTATCTATACAGGATCTCCGTATGCACCTTTACAGTGTAACATGCTTCTGATATAGTCTCAGCTTTGGTTAAAGCTTCTTTGTGTAATAATGGTTTAAGTTTGCCTAGGTATCATGTAAATTAAAGTGATGGAGGATGTAAGGTCATGCTTTTATTGACATGATGAGACTATTTGGTGTTACAAATGTATCTACATCTTTGTCAGGCTGTGATAATTATGATGAATACTATCCAAACATCGGGTTCCCGTTGAACATGCATCGAGTATCGTTTGCTGTGAACGTCTTTAGAAGCAGATCGAAGGTTGAGGCTTTAAGTATGCAACTAAAATGTTAAAAAGTGTTTAACAATTCTAAAAATAGCTTTTGACAAAATATTAAGAAAACATTTATTTAAGGTCACAAAGGTTCCTCCATATCAGCAACTATTTCAAAGACACGGTTTTTATTGTGAAGTTAAAGATAATATGTTACAATTTATTTCCTTTGATTAAATTTCAATTGTTACGCATTTTTGTAACATGTTGCAATGCACGAACCACTAAACATCAACATTGTAAACATGTTATACAGGCTTGTTTGATATGTTCATACAATTTAATAGTTAATTTAAATTAGGTAGTAACAATAAAATAAAGTTGTAACATACTGAGAGTAATTTTTCTGTATATTAAGTTTTATAATATCAATAGTAAGACAAACTTTGTAAAAATAACTTGAGTAAAATTCGTTTCAGTACAATGTGGTTGGCTGTAAAATAAAAATTAAAGTAACGTTAATAACCTAAAATGTCTCTTTGAAATTTATTTTAATTATATTTTTTTGGCCTATCAATGTTTTTCGGAAACACTCTCATCTAGCCTACATAAAGTGATGGGGTCATGACCTTTCTACACGTCTTCAAACAGAAACTGACATCCACAAACACCAGCTGTCCGAGTCTTTGTTTACATTAATTAAGAATGTCTAATTCAATTAAACTCCACAAAAATGCTATAAAATCAAGGATTTCTGTGTTCCCAAAGTTAAAGGGTTATCATTGCAAGATATAAATTTTAATTCCTAGTGTTCAATTTCTAGGGCTCACTTAGAGTAGTAATAATTTTTTTTACTACTTACATGTATTTTTTTATATTTTATATCCACCTAAAAATGCCAAAATCACAATTTTAGGTATGGACCTTAGGAGGTTAAGGTTATAAGAGTTTATATAGTATACTCAATATACAGTAGTTTTTTGATAAATAACTTTAGCATTTCACGGCTTTTAGATATGAATGATGCTTTTAAAAGTCAACTGGTTAATAGATTTTGCAAAATATTCGAGTAATGGAACACTGAAAAATGGCCAAAAGATTGAAAATTTCTTTGTATGCTTAAATCGTATATGTATACAAGAAGAAGAGAAATGCTTGATTTTTTATTGTGTTATTCGACTTATAAATAAAAAGATAGATACAAGATAGAAAAGTCAACTTTTACAGTTAAATATTAATATAATGTGAAATAATCTACTGAATTGTATAAATGTTATTGTAAACTTAATACTTTTTAATACAATTTGTTAAAATTTGCAATGTATGCAGAATTGATAGATTAGAAATTGTTACAAATTGGCTTATTTATTTATATCCTATTATAGAAAAGTAGTACATATTACAAATTCAAACAAAAATTTAACCCACAACTATTACTCTTTTAAGTTTTACGTTTACAGTTGAATATTCTTGTAACGTAACCAATGCTTTAACAATTATTCAAGGATTTAAATCGAATACTTTTTCACTAAACACATAAATAAAACACAAATTAAATGATTTACTGTTTAAATATTCACAAGCTGAAAACTTAAATCTCAAACCTACACGGACTTACTAAGCAATGTAAAAGTAAAAATGTTTATCATATTCATAGGGGAAAATTAATGCACTTCTTGTTTATTTTAAAGTCAATATAATAAACCCTTATTACTGATCAACATTTACCTTACTCCACAGTCTCCTTACACCCAATTGCAGTCTGGTCCAGTAGGGTAATACAGCATTGCGCAGTTGCACACCCCCCCCCTCCCACACTTCGGCGCGCAGTTCCCGCGCAAACGCGCTATAAAAACGCGCCAAACTCCCCGTTTATCAAGTCAGTTGAAGGCGCACCTCCTTTGGACCACCATGGACTCAAAACTTGTGAGTGATATTGTGTGATAGTGATACATGGGGTTATGTATTCGTGTATAAGGTGTCAAGTATTCGTAAATTAAGGGATTTCGTGTTTTTGGGATTTTGTGTACAGCTCAGGGGTTCTTTAGTTTGTTTGAAACTTGTTACTTTGGAATGGTAATCTACATAAATGTCGGGATTGTCAGTACACTATTTATAATCCGTTGATCGTCATAACATTATGTTTTATAATGTTAAATTTGGTATTAGCAATTGGACAATTAATTGTATGCAGCTTACTAAAATAAAAAAAAATGTAGAAAATGTTTTTAAAATAAATTATTTTTTTTTGTTGGCTTGTGTAAACATTCAAATGGTTTGCAGTAAATCGTCAGAAATAATATTACCAGCTACTAACCTAAGTGACGTTAAACATGTAGTGAAATTAAAATGTTGAGTACAGTTACTTATTTGGCGCACCAAAGTAAAAACTTAACGGTGATAACACTCGTGTTTGTTGTTGAAATCTTTACTATGTTTCTTAAAAATAGCAATTCACTCCGTAGCCCTAAAATATAATGAGACTCCTGTCAATTTAATACTCATACATCTCATTCCTCTATTTTCGGTGAATGGTTTATTTTGTATGTTCCAAATAAAAAAAAAACACCTTAGGGATATTGTATCATCTCACATTTTCGAATCGATGAGAGCTATAATGTTTGGTATGAGAAAACTTAAATTCTTCAGCTAAGTAACTTACAATGTAGTTTTGTAGAAATATAGAAGCTAAAGTTAGAATTTAAATTTTGGATCTAGGTAAGTGAATAAATTGATAAAAATTAGTTTTGAAGTAAACAATATTTCCTTTTTGTAGAAAAAGAGCGCAGTTTTCTAAAATAATTTATAAACAATCACTTGTCACTTATATCAATACTCATATTAAAACCATTTAACTAAATTAATTAAATAATATAAATCGTTTTAATTTGAAAAATCTGTTCTCACAAATGCTCTAGTTAAGGATTTTATTCGCTTGTCTATGCTGTTCAAAAAATAATACAGTGCTATAAAATGCACTCTAATATAATGGCGTCGATTTCCCTACCAACGAAACAGGAAACGATACTGACCTCTTTAAAAAGTTAAAAACATTGACTTATTTAATAACTAAATTAGTTTAACTCAGTCAAAAAAATCAAAATAAGTTCATTTAAATAGAGAATAACATTTTTTTGCTCAATTATAATAGCATAATAGAGATTTGTTTTCTTAAACCTTCATAAAAAAAACATTTGACTTCAAAAACCTTTGTTAAAAAATAATATTTGTAAAAATAATAATTATAGCTGAAAATTTGCCTGTTTTCTGATATTTCCTTGAAAAGTTCATGCATATTTTCAATCCATTTTCAATATGTCCATTCGAAACAAAATAAAGCCTTGTTTTAAGTATTTTACTTTTTAATCAATTGCATTTGTTAAATATTCGTCAACTAGCACATAATTATTTTTAATATTATTGATAATACAACTAAAAAAGACATATTCTTGTACATGATCCTAAATCATTGTCGTAATTCATATATCTATTTACACCCAATCTTCCACATTTAAAAATCACAAATTTAATGTACTGAAATTCTTTCTAGATAATTAATTTCAAATTAGTTAAAACGTTAAAATATTTGGTTGCTTACAACCAAACACCTTCAGTGCAAGTAAAATTTCAAAACCAAATTCACTTTTACGCATTTTAAATCTAAGATTACCGAGGTAGATAGTGCAGTAGCTGGCTGCAGGGGTCAGTTACCACTAGAATGATGGTGGGAATGACTTAATTCTGCATCTAACATCTGAATATATCCGACCTCCCTTTTAATTACTCGTATTGTTGTCTGAGAACTTCTTCTTATCACTTGTATCAGTCGCCCGCCCCGCTCTTTTGTTGCGTTCTGTCTTACACAGAGTACCTATAATTTGGGGTCATATCTTTTAGACATTTCGTATCTGTAGTGTAGATTCACACTAATTATCAAGAATTGTAGTTGAATTGTTAATTTGTCGTATCGGCTTTGGTCATCCATATTGTGTGTGATATATGTGTGTGGACCTACAGCTCTAACTTAGAACCACTAAATTATCACATACCCGAAAGCCGTAGGTGACATTTTCCCTCCTCTCCCTAAAAACGTGAGCCCGGATCTGCAGGATACAAATCACGCTTCAACCACTAGACTAGCCGAGTTTTGAAACAATAATCAATAATCAACACAGTCATAAAGCCGAAGCCAGTTATTTCGTAGTCCACCACACAATCCGTAGGTCCACCCATCTAGGAAAAGGATATATATCAGGAAAAGGGAACTTTTTTAGATTTGTATAACTCCTTCAACTATAAAGCACATTTCAGTACTTGTAGACTTTTGGATAGTGAAATAAACTAACCCTTTATGTAAAAAAAATGTGGAAACTCTTGATTCAGAACAATAACAAGAAAAATAGTATAACATATGACTCAAATGTTTGTTGTGTTGTTATACCATACTGATGTATGCTAGTAGTATGCTGACTTCTTATTGATACAACATCATGTGATATAACCTATGCAGTTTTACACAAAATTGTGTTTCCAGTTCACATGCAAGAAAACTATGTAGTTTTCCGAAGCACAGTATATTGGTAACTCTCTTGTGGTAATTATGAAGCTGGCTACATCTCTAATAAGGAATATATTTTCTAATTCACGGTAATGTAATCAAAGCAAAGCACACACTTACTAGATTCTCCAGTACAACCTGCTTGTTTTTTACATCTTTTGATCGAGAAAGAAAAGTAGTGTTTTCCAATCATGTATCATTTGTTTACTTTCAAAAACATCAAAAATACACTAGTAGATACAGACAGGAACTAGTGAATGCTACTATTCAATATGTGTTTCTGTAGCATTTATCCACATTGATTTAATAATACTGCATAAACATATGAACATCTCAGTAGAAAGATTAATCAAGCAACAATATAGTTTCAGTTGGTTTATCTTTTTATAATCTTCTAAAATTGGATACAGTACAATTTAAAATACGTTTGACCATTAAAAAACATTTTTTATTTGCATCATTCATTTGAAAGAGATTTAAAAAAAACCCCTATTTCTTACTATCATTTTTAGTATGACAAACTATGAAGTAATCTTAATTTGCGCTGTATATTATGTTGAAGATATTTGACGAAAAGATCTAAGTTAGATAATTCGCCAAACAAAATCTAAAAATGTCTACGGTTCTTCAGTCAATCCCACCGTTAAAGTCTTTCCTTCAAAAGTAACTCAAGTCCAGAAACACCTTTATTCGATTTTGACCATTAAAAACGCTTTTTATATGCATCACTCATTTGAAAGAGCTTTTAAAAACACACTATTCCTTACCACCATTAATTCCACCATTTTTATTATGACAAACTATGAAGTCATCATGTGTTCTTAAAATATTTTTTTAGATATTTGACGAAAACATTTAAGAATATCAAAAATTTGCCAAACAAAATGTTGCATTCTTTACGGTCCTTCAGGCATTCTCACCGTTGAAGTCTTTTCTCCTAAGGTAACTCAAGTCCAGAAACACCTTTGTACGATTTATTGTGCATCATCCACAATCATTTGGATTGCCCCAGCCATGGGTGGGCGGCCAGTAACCTTTCAAATCGTGCAAGAAGACTCATCATTCCTCATTAGGATGTTATAATTCGGCAGCGGCTCCTACATTAGTGCACGACCGTCCTTATCTACTCCTTCCTTTATCCTCTTTTTGTGCAATTCTCGTTCTTTCATCAGTGCTATTTATCTGGTGATTTAATCTTTGCAGCGATGATTTCAGACGTGCACTGCGATTTACTACGCATGTTCTGCGCCGTCCTTGACTTTTGAAACGCCTCCGGTCAAAATGAGTAATTCCGGGAGTTGAACTGTTAAGTCGTGAGGAAGGATTTGAGTTTTAGAACTTTATTGGAAGATCACGAGTTTACTAATGCGATTGAGGTTTGGGAGTTCATTGGATAGAGTGGCCGTAAGATCGTTTCGATGTGGGTTTGTTTTTTATATTTCTTACATAACATAGTACATAGTAAACAATAATCATTTAAACGTTTTCTAACAGCATTTATTTTGAACTCTATAATGAAGCATGAATTAAACCATGATACATATTATATTGTTAAAATAATTTAATTGATTTTCAAACTATAAAGAAAAAACTCCTCACTGTACTTAGTAATAGGATATTTACATTTTTTCCACCCTCATCGTTAAATTATTTTATGACTTAACTACTTGTTAGTAGTGTCTTTATTTTAGAACCATTCATGTGATTAAATTAATATAAATTACGTAAAAGACACATCGACTTAAAAACGTGAGTAAAAAGTACATAGTCTACAGAGTTTAGAAGAAATAAAAATGGCACATTTTACATTGGTTAATTACTTTACCTAAACAAAGACCTCGGTCAACGTGAGACATGTACATATTTCGTATAATTAAAGAGGAAATACTTATAAATTATATGTTTACAAATTTTGAAGATCAGTCATAGAAGTTGTATTTATACTTTCGTTGTTAATTAAAATCACCTATTTCATTACTAAGGTTAATAAGGCAAAATGATTTTCTAACTTATTAAAAAATATAAAAATTTTAACAAAAGCTACTTCTTGTTATTTCCAAACGAAATCTCCATCCATTCTTTGGTTAAAGTTGTTAAAGATCCGTTAGCTAAGACTATTCTTGTTTACGTAGTCCAACAATACATCTTTATGACTATATTCTCTCCGACTACAAATTGCCTTCACTCCACTCTGAGTGAGGTGGATTCGTCACAGATCCAACTAGACAGGTACAAACGTTTGTACGTGTTTGCAATCTCGCTACAGACAGATGAGCAGATGAGGTTATGTCAGCTGTGCCAAAGGGCGCCACTCTAAAACAAATCTCCCGCCATTTCTTCCGCCTTCGCCCCCACTAACCTCCAGCTGTCTCGGTTGGAAGCGGTCGTGATTTACGTTAGAATAGTGGTTATTTACATATTACTTAACGTCTTGCTACAGTATATGTAAAATCATACATACATAAATATAAAACATATAGATTATAATTATAAGATGAAATTTAATTACAATTTTAGTTGCTCACGCATAAGATAACCAGGCAAAACTTAAAAACAGGATATACAATGACTTTTACCTTAGAAAATAAGGGTTACAATTGTTCAAACAGCATGCATTAAACATTTCTTTAACTTTATCAAACTGAAGGATTAATTTAATAAAATTTCTAAGTGTTTTTTTTTTTTTTACAAAACGAAGGAAGTCAACAAAAACACACAAAACACTATGTAAATGTCAATAGATTTATCGTAAGAATGTGAGTTAAATGACTCTTCTTCTATTTTAAAACAATACACACTAGTTATAACAATATATACTAGTTCATGACAATAAATAGTAGGATAAATAGTAATAAGAATAAATTAAAAAAATTTAAAACTTATATAATAAAAAATTCTAGGTTCATTACTATACTCAGCTAGGCTTATATTTTTTTATGCTAATGTTGAAATAATATTTAAATTTAGCTTTTATTTATGATACCAATAATATATTTATTTTGTCAGACATTGCTGATGCTCGCCGCTGTGGTAGCAGCCGTCCATGGACAGGTACCTTACATCAGGCCTCCAGGCTTCATCCCCATCCTGGCACAGAACTTTGACCTCAACCCTGACGGTTCTTATGTCTTCAGGTAAAATTTGTTGATAATTTGATTTATAATATCTAGTCATACTAGTTTGTATTGATAGAACGGCTCTTTTCTGATAATTATAGTAACTGATAATATTCATTTGAGTGCTCTAGTCCAAAGAACTCTCTTTAGATAGCCTATCTTCCTATTTTTGTGATTTTCTAAAGGTGTTGGATTCTTTAACATTACATACATTTTTTAAGATGTTTTGTAATTACCAAGATTAACACAAGTAATCTCATTTAGAGTAACAGTAATACTAAATATCTTATTTAGTCTGGTTTTTGTAACCAGGCTTAAACAGTAATTACCGGTAGTTTGCTGAGTACCACGAAATGTTCTCTAGAAGAATCATTGTTCAAAAACAAAAGTTGTAGGACTATTTTGTAAAATAAAAATTACTTACATCAAAACTGTATAAAACCAACTCTCATGCAAGTTAGGGCTTTTTTAATCTCAGCCAGACGTAATATTTCATCTTTGCCATTTGGATTACGATTTCACACCACAATATCAACGTATCCATGATAAGGTCTCAACGTTCCCGCGCTGAAGTCCAAAATTTATGGCGGCTACTTTGTTGGTGGTTTGTGAATATCAATAAATACTGGATTCACCACAGTTCGGGTCAATATTTTACACTGAGCATATAACGACTTGGCCCATAAATAACTGTTCACAGCCCAGTTCATCTATTAGGGGAACTGGTATTTTCGCGAAAGAGTTCAGTTTCCAACCGCTTCGTTGGATAATTTGTTGAATGTAATATGCAGTTGCATTTCTTAAAATATTATGTAGATGGTTTATGTGTTAACCCATGCATCATTAAACTAATTTATTGTAATAACGTAGTGTCGTGGTGGATCTAAAATCCATAAGAAGTTATAGCATTTTCTAAGTCTCGATTAGTATTTTCTGCATTTGTTAAATATGAATTGAATTAAACCTTAAATTGTAGTGTGTTACAGTCAAGGCTAAGGCAAAAAGTAGAAAGACAGATATTTTCAAAGCGTGTAAACTTTCTTCAGGTCTAAATCCACTTAGTATTAAAGTATACTTCTAACACTTTTTAATTAAGGTAACTTGTTTGCTTTCGAAGTTTGGTCGTATTGGTCGAATATGCTCTGTTGGAATCTTTTTGAAAACTCAATAATGTTACTGCCAATTTTGACGTATTTTAATGCAATGAATAATATATTATTATTTATAATTAATTGTAAAGGGTTTCAGTGATATATATTTTTAAAGGAATAGTTTTGTATTTCTGGTAAAATAATTTCCTTGTTTTAGCTACCGAACAGGGGATGGAAGCTCAAGGGACGAGAACGGAGCCCTCAAGTTCCCAGGCACCCCTGCTGAGGCTATGGGAGGTATGGAATAGCCCTGTTTAAGTTATTACACTATAACGTTATACAAAACAGTGTGAATAAGAAAACATACACTAAGGAAATTTAGACCTTTTTTATAATGTCCTTAATTCATCAAGTAAAACTAAGCTCTAAGAACATAGAAGCATGTTATTTCTTTTTGTTTACAAATCATAACTAATTTATAAACTAATGTTACACGCTAACTCATACTCAAACTGAAACTCAAATACAGTGTCTTAATTTTTGACAGTTGTTACAAACTGCATAATAGTGTCAAAAAATGTCTCTTAAAACAAATTAAAACAACATGTTCTAATAGATGAAATCTAAAACTAAAGATCATTGTTATAGTCACTGCAGGCATCTAAAAAAGTCTTCAACACTGTATTAACAAAGTGACAAAAGAAGACTCTTCTTTGCCAAATTTGTCCACATTATTTCCCATCTTCAGGGGAGTAGATTGAACAGTTTAAAGCCATTGTAAAGTAACTAAATTAAATTGCCTTAAATTAATTGCACTTGGTGTTTTTTTTACAGAGGAAATTGTTTAGGGTAATCGAGGGTTATTGTATATAAAATTTTAAATATAAAACATTAAGATTTGTTGAAGGTACAGATTAAAACTCATTTCATAATTAAAAATAATTAGATAGAGGTAGATTACGAATTGAGGAACTACTTTACAAAAAAATTTTTACGTCTCTGTGAATTAGTTCATTTCACTTTCTCAATACCATTCAAAATAATATAAATAAAAAAACAATCGCATTATTGATACATTCATTTTAATACGTTAACATTGTTCCTTAACATACTTCGTTTCCAGTTCAAGGCCAGTACTCCTACAACTCCCCCGAAGGACCAGTGGCTGTACAATACATTGCTGATGAGCATGGCTACCAACCTACCGGACCTAACATTCATCCTGCTATCATCAAGGCAGTGGCTCAACAAGTAGCAGAGGCTAGAGCCAAGCCTCTAGGCGCCGACTACTAGCCTAGCCACTAGCCACCAGGCTTGGCTACAAGGCACACTACGTTACCTTCTGGCTGTACAACGCCTACAGTATTAAATAACGCTTACTTACTTTAGGCACTTTCATTATTTATATTGTATTTTGTAAATTCTTTTTTATAAAACACTCTGTGATGTCCAATATGTCTATTGATTTCCCTTTGGGTGTTGAATGGTTTAATTAAGGTATTACTGATCCGTTGTCAGGTTCATTATGGTTTCTAAAGTGTGTTTATCAGTAACCTTTATTGAAAGTTAGTTCGATAAATAATTTTTAAATGTTAGTTGTGTTTTATACGCAAAAGCAACTGCAAATAATTACATGATGGTGTTGAAGAAGTCTCGGAAAGATCTAAGAGTGAAGACATTTAACATGTTTTTAGCTGTGCTTCGTGGTATGCAATGTTAATAAAATTTATCTAATTTGTCGTAGCTGCTCTCACTATAAATGGAAACTGTCACAAATACTTGATGGCTTAAAATCCTGTTAGTTAATATAAATGTAATAGAAACATTTAAAAACGAAACTGTAAGCTGTGAACTAAAATGCAAGCTTATAAATTTACCAAAATTAAATAACGTTAATCTATTTACTCTTAGCGTAATTTTCTTTAGTAGTGGTTATAGTTTAGTGAGTGCTACGAAAAAACATGAGCTAAATTGGAATAGCAGTTCTAAATTTTTGTTCAGCTCCTGTAGTCACTATAGCTTGTTTTTTATTTGTAATTGTTTTCTGTTGTTTAAAAACAACTTTTTGCTCTAATCTTGCTTTAAAATGAGGTTAAGTGGCAGACGAAAATATCTCAAGTGTTTAAACATTTAGACAATCAAACTGCAAAAATTAACTCCAAAAAAATCCTGAGTTTACAACATAGCTTAAAAATATTTCATTACTTCAATAAAACAACATGTGGGGCGGAATGCAATTAATTTATATCGTAATCTAAATGAAAGCATTGTAAATGTAAATAGGGCAAATTGACAATGTGATTTGTTCTTTTGGTGTTGTTGGGCTTATGATCTTACTTTGAATGCATTTTCATTCTAGCAGGATCAACAGTCTTCACGTTCTCATAGAACATAACACATCAAAAAGAATAACAACCAATACATGAATGCAATTGGACTGTAATCAATATCTGTGTGAATGGTGAGTTGATGGTGGAGTCGAGTAATCTTCGTCTTTGGCTAAGTTCATTGTCCAACCGTATCTTTAGCAATGCACACGTATCAAAGTCCAAATAGTTGAGGTTGTAAAGAATTTCGAGATTTTACTACTATGAGACATGTCCAAGAAACAATACAAGAAACTGTAATTCAATAGCTCTAGACCTCACACTAGACTAAGCATGGTACTTAATTCATATGAACGTGGTCTTTTTACCCTAATGGCTGATTAAGACAGTTTTCAAAAGGCACTACATCATGTAGGGTTAAATAATCTTTTCCTACGACAATTGCCTAGATTCGTAAACTCATTCCATAGTTTCGAGTTACTGTAATTTACCTAAGTATGAACAGTTCATTCCTATATCCCATATTTCTCTACATGTACAATGACAATATCTATTGGATGTATGTTGTTTCATGACCAAAAACATCTCTCCATTAATCCATTCGTCTATATAATTCTAATATGTATATTCGGTTTGGGATAGTAAAAAACCTACTGAAATTACCCGCAACAAATTAGGGCCCTTCTTATTAGCTGGCCAGCAGAGAGCCAGATGGCCAATTTTGTGAGTAGTAGATACCAATCACATACTGAATAAAGTTACTCCATCTGGTAACTTTCGATAAACAGGAAACAAGGATACCTCCACGTAACCACTACTAACTTGTCAACAACAATGATTATATCTATTGAAAAATGATTTATGACATTTATGAGTCATGACATATTCATGTAACCACATCATTAGAGACGGTAGATATACATACTTATTTAGTACCTAAAATATGTGGTCTTGCAAAGAATGTGGGTTTTAAAAAAGAGTACATGTCTAATTCTAAGAGAACGGATTAGAAATAATTTTTTTTTAACTTAGCTAGTTCATATAAAAACATACTATTAATAAAATAAAACATCAAATTCACTTTTCAAAGTCCATTCCTCACATAGAAAAAGAAAATAAAGTTTAAAAGATTAATAAAATACATTTTTCATTCAAAACTACCTTGGTTTGTATGTATGCTTCGCCAAAATAACGAAAGGTACTTATAACTTTCTAAAACCTAAATCTTTAGGGATATTTGTATTTGTTGTACAATGCAAAGTAATTAAAGATGTCAACTGTTTCAATTCACAAAATAATGGGAAATCAAGGATAAAGTGAGCCAACAGATCCCCAATTACCGAATGGTGCTAAGAATAAATAAACACTAAGAAGCTACAAATAAACCATTATTGCTTTTACTAATTCTACTTTTAGCGGAAAAGACGTGATGTATCGCGCAGCCTTCAACATGTGATGAGGCTAACCGAGATTCCAACTGACGTAAATGTTACAAGTAACATGCCAGGGATAAATTAGAATCAGCTGTTTTATAAACTCGGATCAGCTGATTATTACGTGATCGCACAACAAGATGTCTAGGTGAGAAGCAGTTTATGAGTCTCCTTGCTCACAATGCTTAGTTCAATGCCGCCATCTTGTTTATGCCACGGAACCCTCGTGAGAAAAACTAAATACGCTTTGTTCAAGACAAGTAGCGGTAGCAGTTAGTTAATTACTGTTTAATGAGTTGGAGGTTAAGATTAATTAATTTAAACAGTTAACCCTTTATAAAACAATTTAATCGAAAGATAAAAGATTTTCTGTAACAGCTTACAAGAATACTGTAAGAATTAAAAGCCAAATAAATACATTTGATTTTTATTTGATGTATTTAACTGTTTTATTGATTTATATGTTAAATAACAACTACAGGTACTATTAATTGGAGGAGGGTACAGTTAATTCGACAACTTAATTCGAAACTTTCTCATACATCAATAGCCATGCAACTATAGACATTGGAGGTTTCTAATGGACACCAAAATAATCCAGAAAAAGATAAAAAGGACGAGTGACAGTTTTCTATGTAGTGTAGTTTATATCTTTGATTAATATGCACTATGTAACTTATTTCAAAGCGTATTGTGCAGAAATGTAATAAAATATCCTTGTATACAAATTTTAAATCCTTTAACTGTTAATATAAATCAACTTATGAAAGTCAGAAAAAATACTTGATAGGTTCAATAAAGCAATATTATTAAAAGAAAGTATTATTTGAACGAGAAAAAATATTTGTAGTCTTACACTGTGTTTGGAACACAAATTTGTTTATATTACTGTTGTTTCCTAAAGTATTTTAAACTTAGTTACATAAATAACTAAAGTGGTAAATTATACATTTTTATTAGTATGTAACACTGTAAACTGTTGAACTTTGAAATATTGAGCTCTCTAAAACAGAATACGAGTATAAATATTGTAAACAAAACAATATATGTGTTTAAAAAGAACAGACAATAAGTCAGCAATAAATATATACACATTATAATGTATACAATAGTATTACTCTTTGCATTTTTGTTTATGACGAAGTATTTATCTTCTTTCACCGTAAAAGCATACAATCTAACAAATACAGTATGAAACTACAACAATTCCATCACGTAAACATTCTTAAGGTGACTATTCATTGTGTAACTTAATATAGAACAATAATTTTGTTGAGTAACTACAGGCATGGGGCACAGTTAATAAAGACATTTCTGTCCTAGAAATTAGTTAAACACACAACTGATGGCTATTATAGCTATGTTATAATGTTGACACCTTTTAGAAAGTTATTAAATCATGGCCATACCCAAGGAAAGTAATTTTCTGTTAAAATTTTCCCTACAGAAAACTATACTTTGATATATGCGCATATTATTATCTCAGTTAAGATTGACCATCTTGTCCTGAGCGCCTGCAATATGTTACACGCAGTTTGAACGCTGCTCTGTTATTGTAGTGGTCTCTACCTCGTAGAAGGAGTATCATTATTTCCAGTCTCTAGGTATATTCATACCAGTGTACTTCTCGTTATCAATACTACTCCTACTTTATTTGCTAAATAACAGTATGGATATGAATAAAATAGAATAAAAGTTCTAATTGTAAAACCTACCCTAATATGGTTTAAATGTGAACGTAATAATAAATTAGTATTATTAAATAAGTAGCAACTATTGATTGTAGGTTTGCGAAAACTATGCAATTATAAAAAAAAACTAATATTCTGTAAAATGACGTTCCTAAACGCGCTCAGAATTATGTACATGTGGTTCATTTAAGGAATCTTATTGTTTCCTTTTGCCTTTGCTGCAGCTAAATGGATTAAACAGGAGTAATGTGTTTATGCCATTTCTATATTTTTTAAGTAGGTCTACACCAAAGTAAAATTCTAAAATTACAAATAACTCATCAATGGAAAAAATAAATAGAAATACAAAAATATGTTCTATATGCAATTAATTATTTAGTGGTTTTTAGGTGATACTCTATTTTACCGTAAACAATTTGCTATTGAAAAAAATATAATGAAAAAAACATTACTACCTTAAAATATCTAAATCTTCACGATAAAGATGTAGTTGTTCTAAAGATTAAAATACAGAAGTGATGAATCATAACATATCAAAATAATAGCCCAATCCAATACGTTTTATCAAGGGAATACTGATTATGTTATTTGAAAAATCCTTAAGGTCCGAATGGGCATAAATTAAAATAGTTGACTAATTAAAGCACCCTAAAATACAAATGGGTACCCAAATTTGCCTATTGGGTCTGATGACGATTGGAGTGTCCAATAAAAATCGATCACCACTTACTGCCTTTTATATGTATTTACTGTCTTGTGAGTAAAGAGTGTAAATATATTATTACAAGTGTTACTTGACTTATTTTCGTACTTTCAGGTAATTTAATAACACGTACGATGCTGATCGAGAAGTTTTTTAAATAAAGTAAACAAACTTGAGACCCTGATTAGCACATCTTGTTGCTAACGACGCAGAAGCTGTAGGTGAATCGTGATCACATTTCACACATTTTGAGAGGAAAACCTTCACCTTTTAATGCCCACTTTGAGTTTCCGACACCT